CGGTTCAAGGTTTATTACTGAACAATACAATGAACTCCTTGGCATATACGTTCAGTTTAAACTGCACCCTAAGAATATGGATGAATCCATTGTTGTGTCAACCATCATTGACAAACTGCCTCCATCCTGGAAAGACTTCAAACATAACTTGAAGCATCAAAAGGAGGAACTGACTTTGGTTCAACTTGCTAGTCACATTCATATTGAAGAATCTCTTCGTACGAAGGAATGTGACCAATCTTATAAACCCAAGGGAAAATTTGAATCTGGACAACCCTCGGTTTATATAATTGAAAACAAACCAAGAAATCAGAACCACAAAGGACATGGAAAACGCATGTAGGAACATGTCCAAGAATCTCCAACAAAAAGAGAAAGGATCTGGTTTGTTGGAGGTGCAATCAAGTTGGGCATTGCAAGCATGATTGTCGTGTGAATTTAGGCAACAATGGTGATGGAAATAGTGGAGCCAATGGGAAAATGAACGGGTCTTCGGCCCAAGTTAATGGCCAAGTTAAAGGAGATCATTTTTTTTTTGACTAACTTTGATAATTCTAATCAGAATTATGTTTACTATGTTTCATTTATTCCTGAATCATTATATGTACAGGATGACGATGTTGCTTGGTGGATCAACTCCGGGGCAACGAACCATGTATGCAAGGATAAATAAATGTTTGAAACATTAACTCCGCTTAAAGATGGGTTAGTGCTGAAAATTGGAGACGATTCGTTTATTCATAGTTGTGGTTTCGGTGACGTGTCTCTTGAATTTACTTCTGGAAAGATAATTAGGTTATATGATGTTTTGTTTGTTCCCAAGTTTCGCAAGAATCTTGTTAGTTCTCGTTATTTAAATTTTGATGGTTTTAAACAAGTTATTGAGTCAGATAAGTTTATTTTATCTAAGGATGGAATGTTTGTTGGCTTTGGATATTTAAATAATAGAATGTTTCATTTGAATATTGTTGATAAATTAATACATGTTCAAAAAAATTTCATTGTAACTTCTGCTTCTAATGTTGATGAATCTATGTTTTGGCAAATAAGATTAGGTCATGTCAACTTTAGAAGGATGCATGATATGTCAAAAGATTGATTGATTCCAACCTTTGATATGACATGTGATAAATGTAAAACATACATGCTTACAAAAGTGACAAAACAACCCTTTCCTAGTGTTACTAGAAATTCAGCTGTTTTGGAACTCGTACACAGTGGCCTGTGTGATTTTCACTCCACTCCTTTGGGAAATAAAAACTATGTAGCCATCTTTTATTGATGACTACACTCGGTTTTGCTATGTGTATTTGTTATATTCTAAGGATGAAGCCTTAAATAAATTTTAAATATACAAAACCGAGGTGAAATTGCAATTGGGCATTCCGGTTAAATGTCTTAAGACTAATAGGGGAGATGAATATATGGATCCTATATGCTTTCCAATCAGTGAGTATCATTTATGAAACCACGTCCCCTTACACACCCCAACAGAATGATATTGTTGAACGTAAAAATCGAGTTTTAAAGGAAATGGTAAACTCGATATTGTCATACTCGGGATTGAGTGAAGGATTCTGGGGAGAGGCCATGTTAACACTTGCTATTTATTAAATAGGGTTCCACATAAAAGGAACAAAACAGTCCTATATGAACTTTGATTCAAGAAAAAGCCGAATTTGAGTTATTTTTGGGTTTAGGGATGTCGCATAGCTGTAAAAGTCATCGAGCCCAAGTAGAAAAATTTGGGAGAACTTGAAATTGATTACATATTCATTGGATATGCTGAACATTCCAAGGTATATAAACTTTATGTAATAGAACCTAATTCTTCGGTTGTGATTAACACCGTTATCGAATCACGAAATGTAATTTTTGATGAGATGTATTTTTCATCAATTCAAAGCCCTAAGGCTCTGACTTTTTTCCCAAAATAACAACTAACTTTTAAAAACAAATATCCCTTTTACCAAAATACGTCTTAGTATTAGTTAACGTACTATAAAATTAAATACAACACAATGGTAAAATTAAATGCAACAAAAATATACAATTATTATTTCATTTAAATATGATAATTAATATTTTTTTAATCTGTGTGAACAATAATTTTAGACAGGAAAGTATTAACTACCATATTAGAACACCATTTCGATTATTTGTAATACAATGAAATAAATATTACATACCCTATTTATTTTTTCTCCAGACTGACACTGTCCATAGAATGCTAAAAAGAAGCAATTTATTGATGTGGTTGCTTGTACCGCAATTTGGTATATTTGACGGTTTAGAAACCATAAAGTTTTATAGTAAAGAAGATCATAAATAATGATACCGTGGATTCGATAAATAAGTTATCTTTTTTTGTGGTTAAGTAATAATAATAGTAAATGTTGTACAAATTTGGTTTGTTAGTTGCAACACCTTTTAGATCTTTTGTAATTTTCGGTTTCTTGCTAGAGTTGTTTTTTAATATATATATATATATATATATATATATATATATATATATATATATATATATATATATATATATATATATATATATACTAGAAAAGTTTGAGGCCCGTGCTAAACACGATCCAAAAAAAAGTAATTACAATGATTTCTTAGTGTAATCTAAAATATAATTTACTAATATCCCAAAAGTGAAGATTTTTTCTTTAAGGATGTGGATTTTCAATGTAAAAGCATGAATAAGAAAAAAAATGGAAATATATTGTCATTATCAACAAATAAATGAAAGTTCGATTTCATAATTTCTGCATTGTGGTTGTAATATCATAAACAAATTCAGTAACATAACATATACTTCAATAAGCTACATTGTAAGGTCCTTATTGATTCGCCATGAGAGTTATACACATAACAAATGAAATTGCTAATACGCCAACATCCATTAGAATAATTTGGATTTTGTAAATAAAATTTAAAAAGTTAAAAAGAAACTAATTATGAAAACAAATTGAACTGCATTGATTCAGATAATGCATTTCAAATTTTAGTTGAAGTGTAAATGAAATTTGTTGCAGTATAACAAGAATATGCACCAAATGATGTTCTATAACTTCTATTTAATAATACTCAAAAACGAAATATATTGCAGATGATAGGCATATAAGCCACGTTACTACAATAATTTATTGTTTTTATAATATTCAGTTTATGTAAGTTAAACAATATTTTATTACAGAGATGTGGTTAGTAAACAATTGTTTATTCATAATATCCCATCGTCAAATAAACCTTCAAATACATGAATCAAAGCCTAATTTAATTACTGTGTAAATGTAACATATATTCAAACAAACAATTTTTTCTTAACAAAATAACAAAGGAAAACCAAATCGCATTAAGCTTCTAAAATTAAGACAGATGATTTGATTGATATCTTTAGTTATTTGTTTGTTTACCAAAAAAAAATCCATATACAAATTTTCTTTTACATCCTTTTAAAACTCTATTTATGTATTGTTGGGTTACAACCCAGCAAATTTATATATACCTTCAACAGTGATGGTTATGTCATCACTTAGTTGTTTTGACTTTTCATTGTTTATATACAAAGTGTACAACTTCAAACATATTGGTTTGTATGTGGATCAATTGTAAGTGTTGTTTTGTGTGCAAAATTTGCTTTGATTTTATAATTTTCATTGCAAGAAAAAGAGGAATCAAATGTAAGAAATAGCAACTTACCTTATTCATTGTTTATGATTGCAATGTAATTGCATTGTTTGAATAACGTATATTGGGAAAAAAAAATATATACAAGCTATTTTTATACAGGCTTCAACATTTTCAATCATACTGTTATAATTGAATTGGTTTTCAAAGTATAATGTCTTGATAAGAAGATACTGAAAGAGCAATGTTATCCGATTTCGCTGAAAATTAAGACTGTATGTGATATATTCTACTTCCAGTAAGCCAAATTTGGTGTATATTTTATAAACTTAGCTAAAAGGTATCATGTTAAACATGCCAAAAGTAACTCAAATATTTATTTAAATGCTTACAAGTTACAAGTTATTAAGCCGTTTAGTTAAAACATTTATATTAACATATTATTTAAATTATCATATTTAATGAATTTAACTATTTATTAATTTGAGAGAGAGAGAGAGAGAGAGAGAGAAGTGTTGGACTAATGTAATCCGTTTCAAATTAAAAGTCATCAGTAACCAAGAGGTACCTAGTTGTGTAGAAGCCAAGTTGCCATTACAAATGAAACCAATGATCAGTAGCTATAACTTTTCATTGGGATGCTTGACACCACATTCTGATTGCCTGAACCTCCGCCACAAACTCCTTGTACCCCTGTTCATTGTCCTCACGGCCACCACAATCCGATTTCCGTGTAGCACTTTATACACAATCTCCAGACAACTCATCTAATTGAAAACTAAACCCTTTTTATCAACGGTTATAAGCTCTACTCCTTCTCCCAGCCACCACTAATATTGTTACTACCCTTTTCCAATTCCACCACAGAATCAATGTTGGGAAATCTACCTTTTATCAACGGTTATTCTTCAGAATTTGTGTACAGGAATCCAAATGTCAATAATTTGAAAGCATAAAAGTAAAACTTATTATTATCTTCAGAAGTAATACAAGCCCATAACCATCAAGTAATCCACCAACGTTGTCCTTATGGATGATTGGATTTGATGACGTAGAATTAAATCAAATATAAAACTTCGAATGAAATTTCTCATCCTAATGATATCTGATGAAACGAAAATGAAATTGATTACCACCGCTGATCAATCGATACGACACAATGGAAACTGAGGAGATCTAAATAGATATTGATGCCCATGGAGTCATTTCAGAAGTTGGGTTACGATTTCCAAGCGTGCAAATGTGATTTAGAAGGCTAAAGAATAAAAGAGTTTATATATATATATATATATATATATATATATATATATATATATATATATATATATATATATATATATATATATATATATATATATTAAAAAACAACTCTAGCAAGAAAGAGCAAGAAACCGAAAATTACAAAAGATCTAAAAGGTGTTGTATATATATATATATAACTTTCGATTATAAACCGGAAAATCTTGGAAATAATAATTAGAACAAACGAAGGAAATCAGCAAAACTTATACATTATACGTGATATTACAGTAGTTATACAACAGTAAATATAGTGGTGGCTACTTGTTGTTTTATTACAATAATACACCTAGTTTTATCATGCTATATATACAATCTAAATGTTTAACGATTCATTTCCAGAATTTTGGTCCCTTGTCGGATCTGCCATTATTCCTTCCATCCCATGCGGATGACCAGAAGAAGAGGGACATCCAGAAAAGAACAGCAAAAAAAATCTGAACATTTTCTTGAAATCTAGTAAAAGATACCAATGAGCCTGTTTCATGAACATGACAATATTAATTACTGCTGATATCAAGCCTTCTTTCATATGTTAACTTACAACGCTTTTAGCTGAGTTTTTAGTTCTAGTGTAAAGAAAGGATCATCAATCTTGCCTGAATAACTTAATTTTGATAACTTATCTGTAAAGTTTTAGTTAAATAAAAGTTAGTTTTGTTGTAATTAGGCCATTAAGAATGATCAAGAACCCTCCTTCATCCCTGGAAAAGGAGATATATGCAATTGATTTTGATGTCTAACCTAGAATTTTTGAATAGTTATCAATTTTGAAAGATGAAAAATATCCTTTTGACAACCATAATCAAACTGTAGCTCTAAAACAAGCCTAATAAATTCTGATAAATGGACAAATTTCCGATAAACAAAGGATAAGCATGAACCCTAGGAAAAGTAATTAGGCCATATGTACGCTGAATTCGTTGATAATACGGGACAATTTAGAAGAGCAAGAACCATTGTACCTGAATTAGAATCGTCATCTTCACCAGGAGGTGGTCCAGACTCCGGAGGAGAAGGCGGATGAGGGCTCGATGCACCACACCGGCGAAGCCATAAACTGGAACTCCGTGGCGGATGTAGAGAAGAAGGCTGTGAGGATACGAGTTTACTACCAGAACAATGGCTAGATGGAAAGAAACGGATAGAAGGGAGTAAAGGAACTGCAGCGGTGAGAATCGATGAGTTAGGATGGTGGTGGACGTTTACGGCTGCCGGAGAAAGAGGACTGGATGCCATTCAACCACAACTGATATTTTCCGTCGCAATGATTAAGTGATTATCATTTCGTATTCCAATAGAGTTTATGGGGCCTTATCGTTTTCAATGTTTAGTTCTATTGGGCTTAACGATATCAACAGCCCATATAAAATACTCAAGAGACAATTTACGAAGTTTTGAAGTGATTACTAATAATAGATGTCAGCGGCCCATAGTGTACACTAATATAAATTTTCTTTGTGCTTTGCAATATTTTGAAATTAAGAATTTATATTTTGGTAAAATAAGTAGAATAATATGGGTTGTTGACATCCATTATATAGGTATTAACATGAAAACCAGAGCAGGTGTAGTTGGTGGATAAAACAAATTATCAGCTTTAACTTTTGAATTTTTACATACGAATCCACTTATATTTGCCACCAATGTCAACAGCAACACAAAATAATTCATATTAAAAGACCACCGCGCCACTTGGTCATACAAGGAAATTTAGAAATTTTAATAAAGTTTATTTAGTTTTTTTTTCTTTCAAATTTCTTTTTAAACCAATTTCAACAAAAAAAAAGTATCAAATGATCTAGAGTCCAAAAATCATGTTCTTAAAATGCTTGGAAATAACTGGATGTATAATTTCCAATAAAAAAATGATAACTTTTATGCAGAAAGTTATGACCCATTTTCATAGGTTGTCCGTGATAGAAAATAACCGAATTTTAACAATCTTTTGTGTTTTCCAAGTACTTGAGATCTCATATGCATTTATTGAAGTATTTGATGTTTTTAAGTTATTAATGAAATTTTTTAATGTTTTACGTCCTATCTATAAATAGTTGAAGTTTTGTTTAAAATCATCGAATTTATGAAAGTTCATTTTGCTCGCCTAATTATATGTGTGTTTTTGGACCGACTTCAACGAGAAGTCTGGAGTGATCCAAAAGACTAAAAATCGTGCACCTTATATGCTTGAAAAAAGACAACAAGTCTTTTAGAGTTTGTAGAGATAATTAGTATGTTTTTCTTACAGACCGTTCGGAAACCGCATTTGACAAAAGTCTTGGGTTTCCAAACTCTAATGAGATCTAATATGCACCTACTAAAGTATTCGATGTTTATGGTGTATTGATCAAGTTTTATTAATGTTTTAAGTTGGGAAATTCAACAAATTAAGTTAAGCACTTTAAACGAGTGATAAACGAACTTCAGTGAACTTACGGAATAAAATTTCTGAAAATATGAAATCAATTGTGAAGACAATATTTAATGTGGTTCGGTTAAAATGATCTACATCTACGGGCGAACGATATATATATATATATATATATATATATATATATATATATATATATATATATATATATATATATATATATATATATATATATATATATATATATGGAGAGAGAGAGAGAGAGGATTTCATTAAACTTTCACGAACTATTATAATCATTTGGTGTTGCACCTTACTTGAGCTCTCAAAACAAAAGAATCACTCTTGCTTACACACTACTCCAAAGGGTGTAGTCTCACAATGATTTCTCTCTTAAAAGTACTCACAAAAACTAACATCGAATAATGATGAAGATGTGTGCCTATTTATAAGAAAGCAATAAATCTGATGGGTCGGACCCATTCATAATTAGCCCATGAAATGGACGCCCTAAATCTCAACCATTCACAGAACGTCATGTAACAACTTCCTCCTTCCTAACAGAGCTTTCTCTCACCAATAGAGCTTTCTACTGCCAAATAGAGTTTTCTCTTACCAGCAGAGTTTTCTGCCACCAAACAAAGCTTTCTCTAACAAGTAGAGCTTACTACCACTAACAATGTTTTCTCTTACCCGCAGAGCTTTCTACAACCAACATAGCTTTCTCTTACCAACATAACTTTTTGCCACAAAACAGAGCTTTCTCTTACCAATAGAGCTTACTATTAAGACTTCACACCCCAACAATCTCCTAATTGAAGGCTTGAATAACTTAGTCTTCATCTGTCATTCAGTTCTTCATCATTCCTTTCTCTCTCTCTCTCTCTCTCTCTCTCTCTCTCTCTCTCTCCTTCTCTCCTTCCAACACTTTTCCTTAAACTTAGGAAGGCTAGTTAAAGCCATGAAAAGCTTTAACTTCTCATTGGTAACCACTTTGGTGAACATATATGTTGGATTATTTGTTCAAAGGATTTTCTTCAAATTTAAAGTTCCATTACATATTATCTCTCCAATGAAATAGTATTTCATCTAAATGTATTTTCATCTACAATGAAACAGTGGATTCTTCGCCAAGTGAACTGTGATGGAGTTTAGTGCCCATAACCACTACGAACCAGTAATGACTGTAATGACTGGTTCCTCGTATGTATTGAATTTAGAATTATTCACTTTTATACAGAAACTCGACGAGTTGGAGGCCCCAAACTTATCGAGTAGAGATGAATTGGACCGCGAGTTTGGAAACCTACTCGACGAGTTAGGAGGCCTCAACTCAACGAGTAGGCTAGCAGAAATAAAACCCTAATTTCGGGGTTTTGCACCCTATTTAAACACCTTAACCCCAAAGTGTTGGCTTCATCTCCAGCGTCCACTGTCCAAAACACTAATCTCGAAACCCTAAGCAATTTTTTATGATTGTGAGCTAATCTTGTGTATTATTAGTGAGTTTGAAGAAGGAGAATCTTGAAGGAAGAGCAAGAACGTGTGAGAGGGGAGTAGATCCAGAGTTTGGGCTTCATTTCTGATTCATCTTAGGTATAAAGCTTCAACCTTGTCCATGACATGCTTATATTTAGTCTTAGGATGTTTTGTTTCATGTTTTGGTCCAAGTATGTGATGGTGGGGATTTGAACGTCTTATTTGGGAAAACCATTCAGATCTAGGGTCTTGAGGGGACTTCATGGCATAAAGGTGCCAACTTTATGGCCATGGAAGTCCCTTGCAACTTTTAGACCATATTTTTGGTCTTTTAAGCCATATTTGGTCATGCATGCGAGCAAGATGGGAAATTTACATGACCAAATTGTCCCTTGAGTCCAGATCTATTACCTCATGGTCTATCTCGAAGTCTTAATGGCTTTTGGAGTTGGATCTAAGCCCTTTTGGGTTAGGGTTTGAGTTTTATGTGTTAGGAAGAGGTCATTAATGGGTAAAGTTAGAAACTTTACCCTTCTAGATATATTTCCAGCTTAGATCCAGAAGATAGGGCCTTGATTTGAAGAATAGGGATTGAATGCATTAAGAAGGTTGAACATACTAAAGAACTCGATGAGTTCATAAGAGAACTCGACGAGTTGTTCGGGAAATGTGCCGACTGTGTTGGAAAAGGAGGGACTCGATGAGTTATAGGAGAAACTCGACAAGTCGACCCGGGATATCACGATTTTGTGAGTCAAGTAGGAACTTGGAGAGTTGGAGGAAAACTCGATGAGTTAGATTGTGATTCCATGATTTTTTGATTCTTGAGAACTCGGTGAGTTGAAGGGCGAACTCAACGAGTCGAGTCAACTCGAAGCGTTGAATTTGACTTTGACTTTGATCAAAGTTGACCCGTAAGGGGTTATGAGTGTGAAAGGGTACTTAAATGAATTCTTTTATGTTTAGGAACTTGAGTTTGGTTGATAGTCGGAGCCGAGGATTTTTAGCTATTTTCTAGTATCCGTGGTGAGTTACCTTTCCTGTATGAGTGGGTGGAAGGCACCAATACTGGCCCACTTGTATAGTAGAGATGATTGTCTTTGTGATAATTGTCTGTCATGCCACTATTTGCTATGACTTATGTACTTATTGCTATGTTATTATGTGGTAGTGGTAGGGGTGAAATAGACGTTGTAATTGGTTAAAATACATCGAAGGGTAGGTGGGGCACCCAGATATGCCTGACAATATGTTTATGCTATGTTATTATGTGGTAGTGATAGGGATGAAATAAACCTCGTAACCGGTTGAGACACACCATAGGGTAGATCGGGCACACAGATATGCATGATAGGGTAGGTAGGGCACCCATATATGTCTGGCACGGTAGGTAGAGCACCCAGATATGCCTGACATGGTAGGTCAGGCACCCAGATATGCCTGATAGGGTAGGTCGGGCACCCAGATATGCCTGATAGGGTAAGTCGGGCACCCAAATATGCCTGGTAGTAAGTGATTATGTGGTATGATGGGGGAACTCACTAAGCTTCGTGCTTACGGTTTTCAATTTTAGTTTCAGGTACTTCTTCTTCAAAAGGAAATTAGTCGGCATAATCACAGCGCATCACACTACATGTTCTGCACATGAGATCTTTGGGAGTTATACTCTGATATTGTTTCCTTATGGCATGTTTTGATTATTGACATATGAGTTTTGTTATTGGATGATATTATGGATGTTTTCAAACTATTGGTTTATAATTACTTAATTAAAACTGGAATTTTTGGCTCTAAATTTTCGGATGTTACAAGTTGGTATCAGAGCCCTAGTTTGAGGGATTCGGAGACACTATCGGGTATGTCTGAACTCAAATCAAGGGTTTGAAAGATTTTTTACAAGAAAAATAATTTTTCTAAAATTAAAAATAAAGGGTTTCTATAAAGTACAAGGAGTGTGAGGCGTGCAATCGGCCAGGCTCAAGTAAGTTTTTCCCAAGATACCCATAAATGTTATGTTATGATATAAAGTATGAATAAGTGATATGCATGCTAGATTACAGCTAAGGATCTAGGAATGATGCCTTGTATGCCTACTGTATGTGCTTATTGTACTGCATGCTAGTACTGAGTAGTCAGTGATATGTTAGTCTGATTAGGATATGCTTGGTTTTGGTTACTAAAGGCACGAGTGCTACTTTCTTTGTGCTTTTAGGAGTCCTAGTTATATTTAATTAACTAGTAAACGAATACGTTAAGTTACATATTATGAGGACTAAATAATTTCGGAAGGTTTGTCTAGCACTATTTTGCAACTCTTGTTATTTGAGTATTTTCCAGTTTTAGCCTTGGACTCAGCGAGTCATAGGTCCGACTCGCCGAGTAGGGACGAGACCCAGGACATGTTTAAGTTGGCGACTCGGCGAGTCCATATCCTGGACTCGGTGAGTCACCGCTGTTGGATGAAACCCTAAGTTTCAGGGGTT